TGTTGGGAAGGCTCAGCCGCTTGGGCCAAGCTTTGGCAAAATCCAGGGGGTTTGGCGAGGCGTCGTCGGCGTAGAAGACGCACTCTTCGCTGCCCACCCGCGTGGGGCCAGCGTAGCCGGGGGAGTCGGGCACCGTGGGGGTCTTCACGGGGACAATGGGGGGTCGGATGGGGATGGGGCCGGCATTGGAGAGGGTACGGCGGACCGAGGGCTTGGTGGAGGGCGTGCGGCGGATGGTGGCCACCCCTGGGGTGGCGCCGGCCGGTAGGTTGGTGCCGGTGGGCAGCCCGGCAGTGGAGGCGGGACGCTTGGTCTGGATCATCCGGCGGTAGTTCTGGGCGATGTTGCTGTTGCGCGGGATGGTGGAGGACTTGTCGAAGTCGCTCTGGGGGTCGCACTCCACGTCGCCGTTCACCGAGTAGCAGTCGTAGTCAGAGCCTGGGGAGGGGGCAGCATGGTCAGCACGGCTGGGTGGGCGGTGGGCGGCACAGCTGGCGCTGCCAAGCCCAACCACCACCTTCACAATGCAATTGCAGCCAGCCCCAACCACGCTGTCGCAGCGTGACCGCAACCAAACTCGACCACCACCATTGCACCGCGATCCCAACTGGCCCCAACCATTGCTGGCACAACGCGCTCACCATCAAGCCCAACCATCACCATCACGAGGCAACCACACTCAAGCCCAACCATCACCATCACGAGGCAACCACACTCAAGCCCAACCATCACCATCACGAGGCAACCACACTCAAACCCAACCATCACATTGAGATCACAACCAAACCCAACTGTCACCATTGCAACACGATCATAACCAGCCCCCGCCAATGCCAGCACAACACGATCACAACCAAACTCAGCCATGACCATCACAACTGGCCTCAACCATCACCACCACACGGTCGTAGTCAAACCCAACCATCACTATCACAACCACCCCAACCACTGCCATCACAACGTGATCACAGCCAACCTCCACCGTCACCATCACGTGCTCACAACCGGCTCAGCCATCACCATGCCAACACAATCAGAGCACAACATGACTGCCCCTGTGGTTACTCGATCTCCAAACACCACTTCTGCCGCCATCACCCACCATCTGCCACCGTCTCTGCTTGTACCCAACCACTGTGCACAAACATGTCACCGCAAGCCATCACCAACCACACCCTGCATGATGCTACCTGTTATTGCACTGCCCGGCACAACTGTAGTCATCAAGACCCAACTAACACCCAAATAACCAGGAAGCCCTGTGGTTACCGCGTGGCACAATGCTTGTGCCGCACACCGAACACCAAAACACATTAAATCTTCACCCCACCAGCTGCTACACGTGGTCACAGCCCAGTGCTACGACACCCAGCGCAGGCAGATGTGCCCCAGGACCACCAAAGCCTCTGCCATCCCCTTCCCCTCTCCGGCTGCCATTTCAGGTGGCCCCAGGTGCCCCTCGCCGCGGCGGGGCGGGTACCTTGGGAAGGGATGGTGTCCTCGGAGCAGGAAGGGGTGGTGGTCTGTGTGCTGTAGCCGCTGGAGTACTGCAGCGAGTCCCGGCTGCTCTTCTGGTGCTCCAAGCTCAACCCCCGGGTCAAGACCATGGCCAGGTCGCTGGCGGCGGGGGACACCTCCTCCCCATGCTGCGGGGGCAAGGGATCACCGTCAGCACCCGGGTTCCTCTCTTGGGAGCCCCCCAAAAGCCCACCACCTCTGTGCTCGCCCCGCTGGAGCCGGTACCTTGGCGGCAATAGTAGCCGGTGACCCCGCCGATGCCCGGGGACCCGCCGGCAGGCGAGCCCATCTCGGCTTCCCGCAGGTGCTCCACGCGGTCCTTGCGCCGCTGCAGGGTGGGGACCACCGGCTGGTCATAGGGGCTGGCCTTGGACCAGTCCTGCAACGGGCAAGGCATGGGGTGACGCTGGGGACACCGGGGCCAGGAGCCGAAAGCGGGGCAGGGCGGGAGGGAGTCCCCCAAGCCATGGGTGCTGCCCGGGATGCTCTGCCCTGTGGGGGGGGGGCGGGATGGGAGGATCTGGGGGCTGAACTCCACGAGGTGTGGGGGGATCCAAGTGTGAAATGCAAGCCTGGTGGGATGGGGGACAGCGCCAGGGAGGGGAGGAGAGGAAGAGGAGGGTGCTGCTGATGAAGGCTTCACCTTTTCGCCACCTGCCCGTGCCCCGGCAGCGGAGCAAGAACTAACCGAGGTGGGGGAGCTGCACTCGCTAACCGACTGGCAGGTTTCGGAGGCCTCCGAGGACGGCGGGACTTCTGCCGTGCCACGGGGCCAAGCCGTGGGCCAGAGGAGGAGAGAAGAGGCGGTTAGCAAGCACAGCCAGAGCCGCGGCCCCGGGTTAGAGCAGCACCCACGGCTTCCCCAGCCAACCCAGGCCCCCAGCCCGCCTCCCCCGCGGCAGCAGATGCGGGAAGGCAAGCAGGATCCGACCCGGCAGCGGGGGCTGTAGATTCGGGGAGGCGCCGGCTGGGTGAAGCTGGGATGCCCAGCCCCAACCCTTCCCCCTGCTCACCCCAAGCCCCGCAGAGCCAACAGTCATTTTGGGGAGCACCACGGCTTCCCCAGCCAACCCAGGCCCCCAGCCCGCCTCCCCCGCGGCAGCAGATGCGGGAAGGCAAGCAGGATCCGACCCGGCAGCGGGGGCTGTAGATTCGGGGAGGCGCCGGCTGGGTGAAGCTGGGATGCCCAGCCCCAACCCTTCCCCCTGCTCACCCCAAGCCCCGCAGAGCCAACAGTCATTTTGGGGAGCGGGGACGGTCCCCGCAGCCACGGCGTTGGCATCCCCAGGGGCTCTCACCAGGTTGGCAGTGCCGGGTTAGCGGGCAGGCGGTGCCGGCAGTGCCAGGCAGCCCGGCGGCACAGCCAGCACGAGGGATCGGCAGCTCCCGGGGGATGCCGGGGGATTCCGGAGCATCCTCGGCACTGGGGAGGATGCAGGGCGAAGGGGAGGCTTTGCTTCACGCTGCCTGGTGGGGGACTGGCACAAACTGGGTATTATGGGGCTGGGGCGATTGGGAAATACCTGTGGGCGGGGAGATACCTGTGCCCCATCCCTGGGGGGTGTCACAGATGGGGTTTCTCTGCAGTGTGGCCCATGGCACCCCTGAGTAGGGCAGGCAACCCCCGCTATTCCCAATACTTATCTCCCGTGATGCCAACGCAGCTGGAAACAAGCCTGGGGAGGGGCGCGGGTCCCATCACCTCCGCGCCGGACCCTTGTGTTGCGCCCAGCAGCACCCACCCATTCTACAGAAGGGGAAACTGAGGCACGGGGGTGGGCGGTGCTGACACCTCCCCACCATACCTGGCTGGTGATGTCCGAGGGCATGGGGGAAGGCGGTTTGGAGTAAGCGGCGTCCTGGGAGATGAAGCCTGAGTCGTGGGAGGAGACGCTGGAGAGGCGGGTGGCGGCGGCGGGGGGCTGCGCCAGGCTGCGGTAGCGATAGGTGGAACTGGGTGAGCAGGTCTGAGCCCCGCCGGGCCACGCCATGCCACCCTTGGCACTGCTAACGCTGCTGGGGGGGCGCCGGGGGGGGACGGGGACACGCCAGCAGGGAGAACAAAGGAAGGAAAAGAGAGTTTAAGCTGGAGGTTCAGAGGCGGCGGGGTCCCTGGGCAGCAAGCCCAGCACCCCGTTCCGCACCCCAACCTGGGGAAACTGAGGCACACAGTCCTTCCAGGGCATCCCTTTCCCTTCTGGTGTCCCCCAGCGGCAGGGGACAGGCTGGGGCACATGGCAAAGGTGACATGTTTGCACCCAGACCCCTCTGCACAGCTCACATCATCCCCAAAACCCAGAGGATGGGGCGCGTGCTAAGCACCCGTCCTGCCCCGTAGGTCCACCAGCCCCGACCCCACACCCATCCCAGTGCGCCAAGGCCAGTTCATCCGGGTTACTGGGGACCAGTTGGCCATATGGACATGTGGAGGTGGACATGCACCTCGTGAGCATCCCCAAGGGCCGTAAACATCATCAGTGTGTCCCCCCCGCCCCGGGGTTAAGGAAGGGGGCTGGATTTCCCAGCAATGGTTAGGCACGGAGCCCACCCCACCATACCTGCACATGCTGGACTTGCGGGAGCTGGAGCTGCTGGGCGAGGACGGGGGGGTCTGGTAGGACCAGCTGTAGTCAGAGCCCTTCAGGTCCTTGATCACCTGCAGGAAGGATGGGGTTTAAGCCCCCCCCCAAAGAAGCTCTCCCCCTCCCCTGCCCCCTGCCGGTCCCCCCACTGACCTGCTCGCTGGCGGGGGGCAGCTTGTGGGGCGCGGCGGGCGGG